TAAGATGTATCCCCTAGGTTCTCAACACTTTTCGCCTCCTGGCCCCGTAACCTCAAAAATTCCTCAAAAAGCGTGGATAATAGCTTTCAATTTTGGAATTTTATGATCTGTTTTCGCCCGGAAATAAAAATTGCCGAGATGTTTAGCATGGTCCTTAATACCCTCCGGGAGTCAAATTAGGTGGGTGGAACCATCCAATTTTCCTTAAAACGATCAATTTACCAATCCGCAACTTGTACCGATTTTGTGAGCTCAAGCCTACCACATAAATTTATGACATCATTTAATGTTCATATATGGTTCCAAACAACATTATATGACCCTAATATGTATTCTCTAAAAACTCAACACTTTTCGCCACCGGGCCTCGTAACCTCAAAAATTCCGCAAAAAGCATGGATAATAGCCTTCAATTTTGGATTTTTTTGACTTTTTTTCGTCCGGAAATAAAAATTGTCGAGATATTTACCATGGTCCCTAATATCCTCCGAAAGTCCAATTAGGTGGGTGGAACCATCTAATTTGCCTTAAAACAGTCAATTTACCAATCCGCAACTTGCACCGATATTGTAAACTCAAGCCTACCACGGACATTTATGACATCATTTTATGGTCATATATGGTTCCAAATGGTATTATATGACCCTAAGATGTATCCCCTAGGGTCTTAACACTTTTCGCCACCGGGCCCATTAACCTAAAAAATTCCTTAAAAACCGTTAGTCTTCAATTTTGGAATTTTTAGACTTTTTTTCGCCCGAAAATAAAAATTGCCGAGATGTTTACCATGGTCCCTTATATCGTCCGGGAGTCCAATTAGGTGGGTGGAACCATCAGATTTCCCTTAAAACGATCAATTTAACAATCCGCAACTTGCACCGATATTGGGAACTCAAGCCTACCACTGACATTTATGACACCATTTAATGGTCATATATGGTTTCAAATGGCATTATATGACCCTAAGATGTATTCCCTAGGGTATTAACACTTTTCTCCAATGGGCCCATTAACCTCAAAAATTCCTGAAAAAGCGTAGATAATAGCCTTCAGTTTTTGAATTTTTTTACTTTTTTTTGCTCGAAAATAAAATTGTCGAGATGTTTACCATGATCTCTAATACCCTCCTGGAGTCAAACTAGGTGGGTGGAACTATCCAATTTGTCTTAAAACGATCAATTTACTAATTCGCAATTTGCACCGATTTTTGAGCTCAAGCTCACCACAAGCATTGATGACATCATTTAATGGTCATATATGGTTCCAAACGACATTATATGACCCTAAGATGTATTCCATAGAGTTTCAACACTTTTCGCCACCGAGCCTCGTAAACTCAAAAATTCCTCAAAAAACGTGGATAATAGCCTTCAATTTTGAAATTTTTTGACCTTTTTTTTTCCCGTAAATAAAAATTTCTGAGATGTTTACCGTGGTCCCTAATACCCTCCGGGAGTCCAATTAGGTGGGTGGAACCATCCAATCTGACTTAAAACGGTCAATTTACCAATTCGCAACTTGCACCAATATGTGAACTCAAGCCTACCATGGACATTTGCGACATCATTTAATGGTCATATATGGTTTCAAACGAAATTAGATGACCCTAAGATATATTCCCTAGAGTTTCAACACTTTTCGCCACCGGCCCCGTAACCTCAAAAATTCCTCAAAAAGCGTGGATAATAGTCTTTAATTTTGGAATTTTTTGACTTTTTTTCGCCCGGAAATAAAAATTGCCGTGATGTTTACCATGGTCCCTAATATCCTCCAGGAGTCCAATTAGGAGGGTGGAACCATCCAATTTTCCTTAAAACGATCAATTTATCAATCCGCAACTTGCACCAATATTGTGTACTCAAGCCTACCACAGACATTTATGACATTATTTAATGATCATATATGGTTCCAAACGGCATTATATGACCTTAAGATTTATCTCCTAGGGTCTTAACACATTTCGCCACCGGGCCCTTTAACCTCAAAAATTGCTGAAAAACCGTCGATAATAGCCTTCAATTTTGGAATTTTTTAATTTTATTCGCCAGAAAATAAAAATTGTCGAGATGTTTACCATGGTCCCAAATACCCTCCGGGAGTCCAATTAGGTGGGTGGAACTATCCTATTTGCCTTAAAACGATCAATTTACCATTCTGTAACTTGCACCGATTTTGTGAGCTCAAGCTTACCACAGACATTTATGACGTCATTTAAAGGTCATATATGTTTCCAAAAGATATTATATAACCCTAAGATGTATTCCCCAGATTCTCAACACTTTTTTCCACCGGATCCCCGTAACCTCAAAAATTCCTCAAAAAACGTGGTTAATAGCCTTCAATTTTGGAATTTTTTGACCTTTTTTTGCCCGGAAATAAAAATTGTCGAGATATTTACCATGGTCCCTAATACCCTCTAGGATTCCAATTAGGTGGGTAGAACCATCCAATTTTCCTTAAAACGGTCAATTTACCAATTTGCAACTTGCACCGATTTTGTGAACTCAAGCCTACCACGGACATTACGACATCATTTAATGGTCATATATGGTTCCAAACGACATTATATGACCCTAAGATATATTCCCTAGAGCCTCAACACTTTTCGCCACCAGGCTTCGTAACCTCAAATTTTTTTTAAAAAACGTGGATAATAGTCTTCAATTTCGGAATTTTTTGACCTTTTTTTGCCCGGAAATAAAAATTGTCGAGATGTTTACCATGGTCCCTAATATCCTCCGGGAGTCCAATTAGGTGGGTTGAACCATCCAATTTGCCTTTAAACGACCAATTTACCAATTCGCAACTTGCACCGATTTTGTGAACTCAAGCCTACCACGGACATTTACGACATTATTTAATGGTCATATATGGTTCCAAACGACATTATATGACCCTAAGATGTACTCCCTAGAGTCTCAACACTTTCTCCACCGGGCCCCGTAACCTCAAAAATTCCTCAAAAAGCGTGGATAATGTTCCAAACGACATTATATGACCTCGAGATGTATTCCATAGAATTTCAAGACTTTTCGACGCCGGGCACCGAAACCTCAAAAATTTCTCAAAAAGCGTGGATATTAGCCTTCAATTATGGAATTTTTTGACTTTTTTTTCGCCCGCAAATAAAACTTGACGAAATGTTTACCATGGTCCGCAATACCCTCCGGGAGTCCAATTGGGTGTGTGGAACCATTCATTTTTCTTTTAAACAACCAATTTACCGGTTTACAACTTGCACCGATATACCGGTTTACAACGACAAATTTAATTAACTTGCACCGAACCCGACTTGAACCGAAATAGACCAAAACCCATTTTAACCTGTCAAAACCCGAATTTAACCCGAGTTGTTATGAACCTGACCTGAATTCAACCCGACCCGTCCAAAACCCGACCCGAATTTAACCCAGCCTGTTACAAACCCGACCCGAAATCAAACCGACTTGCTATTAACCTGGCCCAAATTCAACCCGACTTGTTATTGACCCGACCCAAATTTTACCATACCTATCACTTACCCAACCCAAAAATTCAACCCGATCTGTTACTAATCCGACTCGAAATTAACACGAGTTGTTATTGACCCGACCTAAATTCAACCCAAATTGTTCCCGACCCGATTTTGAATTACCATAAATGCAATTTAGACCACTTTATTATTGTTGATCAAAGCATTTTGTCTTGAGAGACCAAGTTGTCTAGGCCAGCAAAAGAAAGGATCATCATCCTCAAATTTAAAAGTTAAATATAGTATATATTTGTTGTATGGTCAAAGGAGATAACTATCTTCCTAAATTATAGACTATTGTTCCCTAGTATATTTCCATATATATTATAGTCAAAGGAAATAATTAGCTTGATAAAAATGATAAATATATATTTATAGTTATGAACCCGAATATGACATGACTTGGAAATGACCCGACCTGATTGTAACATGCAAATTATTGACTTGAAACAAACCCGACTCAAACCCGAGAATGACCCGACCTGATTCTGCATGACCCGCAAATTATTGACTTGAATCGAACCCGAGAATTACCCTAACCTGTTTTAACTCGTGAAAACCCGAATTAAACCCGACCTATTGTTCGCCCGACCCGAATGTAACCCGATCTAAACCCGACCTAAACCCGATAAGAAGTATGACCCGACTCAAGCATGACCCAACCCAAACCCGACCCGCATAGGTTATGGAATTAATCTTAATTGACTCGACCCGAGTTAACCCGACCCACTCTTACCCGACCCGTTTACCCAAATTAACAGCTTTACTATAACATTGTCTTGACGACCGTCTTTATGCAAAAACTAGCTAAACTTAAACTCACTAGGCTAGACCATGCATGAATAATTACGTTACATACACCCTCAAACAAAAAAATAAAATAAAATAAAATGGTGTTTTGATAAATTTGGCCATTATAATGCTATATAGGTTGAATTAGCATTTATTTGCATGTGAAATATATTGAGTATGATGCTCTCTAGGCTCTAGCCATTCGATAACCAATAAGACAACCAGGCAACGAAATTAACAAGGATTGCAAACACATGTGGAGTCAGTGGCACATCTTGGCCAAAAAGTTTGGGGGGCCAAGGTTTGATCCTCCAACCTTTTGTTATAAAATAACAATATTTAACCACTATGCCATAACTTTTTAATTGTAATTATTAAACATATATTACTTTTAACCAATAACTTAGAAAAATTAAGGAGGGCCGGGCCCCGACCCGCCTCAATGAAGATCCGCCCCTACATGTGGTTCTTCTCTTGACTCTTGATGAGTTGATTCTCTTACTTTCCATTTTAGTCTCCTTACTTCATCATTTCTACTTTAGACTAGCTTTACTAATCAATGGATATGGATCAATGTTTAATCCATCACTAAGCTAGAGAAGAACATCTCTAACAAGAACCTCAACACTCCCCTCCTTTCCTTTTTTTTTTTCTTCTTTTTTCTTCTTTTTTTTTTTTTTTTTTTTTTTTTTTTTTTCTTTTTTTCAATTCCAACGACTTTTTTTGGTCTCCTAATGAAAAATTTCAAACCAAAAAATCCAAAAATTAATAGGCTTTATTTCCATGCACTAATGCGTTTCACTACTTAGCGTATTTTTTATAGTCAATGAAAATCCACATGTGAATGGTCACGCTTTGGATAATATTTAGGAAATGCTTAAACTGACTTTATAAGCATAATATAGGATTGGATTTACATATATCCTTAAGAGTTAATGTCAACTAAATTTGACATCTCTCTAACCTTCGTCCCTGTCCCTATCCCTTCACCGCTTCCACCGTCCCCCTTCTTCCCAGCCTCTGCTTGCCGGCGACTGGCGCGGCTCGCCTGGCCGTCGCCGACAAGCTCAGTCCTCCCGTCTATTCCCTTTAATTTTGTTTTTTCGGGTTTGTTGGTGAAGATTACAAGGTTCCCCTCGGTGGTGGTGGCAATAAGATTGGGGTTCCTTTAGTCGCCGAAATCGCGTTTGTCTTGTATGGTTTTAATTTTGTGTAATTAAAGGAAGCCTTTGTTTAGTTTTCTGCTTTCCTTTGGTTGCGAGATTCTCGTCTGTTTAGTATGGTTTTAGTTTTGTGTTATTAAAGGAAGCCTAGTTATTTAGTTTTTTTTCAATCTTTATGGCTAGCTTTGAGGAACTTAGGGGTATGTTGTGTATTTCCCATGTTAAAGAGAAGGATGTCTCTTCTCATGAGTTAGAATTTTCAGTTGGGCAGTTGGAAAATCCTTTTGGGATTCTCAATTTTGTTAAGAAATTAAAGGACGAGGGAAACATGCTCTACAAGCAAAATCATATGAGGTCTGCTATTGCAAAATACTCTCTTGCTCTTAAATTATTGTCTTTTGCTTCAGTCTGTAATGAAGAGGATAAATTGATGTTTTCTGTCACTGTTGTGTCCCTTAATTTGAACTTGGTTGCTTGCTTCATCAAGGTCAAAGACTATGATAGAGTGGGTCAATTATGTTCAGCGGTTTTGTGTTTTGATACTACTAATGTGAAAGCTTACTATAGAAGGGCAATTGCCGCGTTAGGGCTCAATAAACCAACCTTAGCTTTCATGGAACTTGCACAAGCCCTTAAAATAGATCCCAAAAATAGTGAGTCACAGCAAAAATTTAAGGAGGTGATATCAATATTGGGTTGGTCTCCGGATTTTGTTGATGAGGCACTAGCAGTAACAAGGAAAGATGAGAAGTTTAGAGATTATGTCTGTTGTGGGAAGGAAGATAATAGTAGGAAGTTAGGGAAAAAAGGGAAAAGGAAGGAAGGAGATGGTCGTGAAGATGGTCATGTTCGTAGGTGTTCAGGTGTGAAAGACGACACCAAAATGGAAAAGGACGTTAGTGGCAATTCTTTGGATTTGGAGGATAAAGTCAACCCTACCAACCAAGATCTTAGGCCCAACGTTATTGATAACAATTGTGTTTTGAAGGGCACTTCAAAAACAAAAAACCCAAATCTGACAGGGTCAAGTTTTCGGTTCTCAAGCCGAAAGCGAAATGATTCCTATTTGCATCTCACTCTAACAATTTATGGAGTGATTTCCAAGGGGCGAACAGTACAATACTTTTGTTCTCGCCAAAAGAATTTCATTACCATCCGAGTAGCCAATCCTTTAAAAAGGATGGATAGTGGTGAAACTCAAAATGTTTCTCCACCAATGGAGTTTAGTCACCCCCCTGTGAAAGGGCACGATAGGTGTGAAACAACTCCAAATTTGATGCAAGAAGATCCATCCAAAGGTATGGCAAGTCACGAGTCATCGTGTGAAGCTGGGTCGATACTCCTACCAGTTTCACCTGTTTCTTCCCCTCTGCAGACTCTCGTTCACCCAAGCTCTTCCTCCTCTGAAATATTGTTGGGTTTTGTCTCGTCTTCCCGTCCCAGGTTTAGAAGGAAATATGCCTCTTTGCAAAATAGGTCTCCAACATGTTTTACTAACTCTTTGTTTTGCAGGTTAAGCGGCTCTAAACGAATAGCATCATGTCCCACCGAGTATACTTGGTTTCCTAAACGTAAGAAGTCATTTGGTCCAACCCCCAATGTTCTATCGTGTAATTCTGCTTTCTTTACTTAGTTTAGGTTGTAATCATGCTTTTCATTAATAGTACTCTTTGTCAAAAAAAAAAAAAAAAAAAAAAAAAAAAAACCTAAATTTGACATCGAACGTCATTTGTTATTAACGGGTGTATCTATCTCAAACCCATATAATCCCATCCACTTTTTAGAGTAATTGTTTCTTAAAGTGTCTCAAAACTATTATTCCATATTACGAATAGTAAGAAAACAAAGCTATACTTGATAAATTTGTTTTGTTATACTCCAAACCAAACTATATATTCGTGCATCATCATCATATTTCATATTCTGCAAGTCCCTAGATAATAAGGTTCAATATAATTCTATATTCCAGCTTCTTGCATATAAACCAGTTCCATTTGACAATTTCTTGCATGCTTTTGTCTCTTTTGTTATTGGAGACAACATTTTAGATTTAATTATACAACTTAAATTGTTTGCATGATAAATGCTACTCCAAAGTCCAAATCAAACTATATATTTGTTTTGTTTTGCATGATCATGTGTATTCCAAATTACAGCGCTTAAACAACTTCACAAACGTCTTTGAACATTTGTTTTTGGGTGAATTAAAACTTTAGTTGAACTAATCCTAATGTGCCAAAACCTACAAATGTGAACCTTTTCTTTTTTAATTATTTGCTTTTTGAATATATAAGAAAGGAAGAAATACAATCAATTTTTCGTTTTAACCATACATTTAATTAAGCTTTTTTTAAAAAAATATTATTTTAATTTGTTTGAGTGAAGTATGTACTTGTATGTTTATAAGCTAGTTGCGAGTTTAGACAATACTTTGTTGTCAGAAACAGACCAAACCATTTCCCCTGGTCTCTTAGCCAGCCTATGTTACCACTTGTTTGCTACCTCGTCATCTTTTTTAATCAACTTCTCATTATTGCACATTTGCATTGGCGTGTTGCGGCATTGCAATATGCTACTAGTACTGAAAATAATTGATTTCCTTCAACAATATCTTACATTACATTTTCAATACATAGTAATATAGTATTCCGTATCAATTAAAATCACGTAACTATAACTTTTATTGTTACCTTTTATAACTTGTTCCTCTGCCCTAAGGGCATTCCCAACGCATTAGGAACTTTCGATTTTAAGATCCATTACATGTGTTTTTCACAAGGCCTTATATCTGAGCAATTCTGCAATTATATTCAGAAATAATAAATTTAACGTAAACAAAAATACGAACTTGTTATGTTTAGCTTAATTTCAATTCTATTCAGTTTAGTAAATCAGAATAGGCCCTATTCCTTCAATACGTAATATATTAAAATTTCCAACACGAATCGTTTAGCAAAACGGTTACAAGCAAATATATTTATTCGAATCAAGATCGAAATTGGTATTCTAGATTAAAAGGGTCTTGTGATATGGACGTAACTTGGACAACCACATGCATATCCTAGAAGATTTCTAGGACCACCCTCTTTATATTAATATTATTATTGGGTGAAAAATTAAACTCCTCTTTGTCTTTTAGCATATTCCTTATCTGCTTGCTTTGCGTTGCCCTTGATTCTTGTGGATATCCATATTCTTTGCCCGTTTACACAATTTTGACCCGGAATGAAAGGGTTTTATAAGTGGATATATACAGTACACTTGGAACTAGTTGGAAGCTTTAGTTAAACCGACAAGATGCCTAACACTTTAGTTATTGAAATCTTATTAAGTTAAAGCAAGATACACGTAAAATAATCATAGTCAACAATCAATAGGAGAATGGTCCAACAGGAAGGTAAAAAGCATAGAATTAATTAAGGAGCAAGTAAAAATTCAAAGTCTATAAATTTTAATGACATGTAAAACTTAAAAACATTTTAGAATAATACTATACGCAATCCTTAAGACTCATATAAGCATATAATATGTGTAGTACGAGTTTTTTTTTTTAATATCCTCGTAGGTCAGGTCACTATTAAATACATTTAACGTATTCATTTATAAAACCCTTGTAATTAAGAGGAGCCTAACTCATTTGACGTAAGACATTGGAAATCCATCTGAAACAGATATTAATAAACAATACTAATGATAGATTTGGATGAGAGCACAAATGTCAATTTATGAGACTGCGTTATCATGGGATTACTCGAGAATTGCTGATGATGTGCGTATTAGCTTAGATTTTGGTCCAAACGGTCATCAAATTAAATAATATTTATAATATTATTATGATTCATACGAGTGAATGCTAATGCTTGACACATCAGCACTTTAGGAGTGATAATATTCATACTGTAGATATTCTTGTTGTACTCCGCATTATTTAAACAGGAAAAAGATAAAGATAAATGAAAAGGGTAGGAGAAGTTTCCCGGAGTTTCCTTCACCATAAGCAACCAAAGTATAAGAAACATTGATGTTATGCACAGAAAGTGGCTTATTAATAGAAACATACTTGCAGAGTAATTACTTAGCAACTACGTCTCTATTATTTTATGTCCTATAAGAATGTGCGTTCTCGTCATAGGGTCTGTTTTCATACGTTTATTTTCAGTTCAGTTCAATTCAGCTCAGTTCAGTTCAGCTCCTAATTTTCTTATTTCATAAAATATTCAGTTCAATTCAGTTGAGTTCAGTCAATAAAAACAGACCTTTAGATAAGGATTTGTTATGTTCATCTTATTTTTACTTCATATTTTAGGTTTAATAAATTCAAATAAGTTAAAGATAAATTCATATAAAAAAATATCTTAAATTGAACGTGTACGTCTGTTTTACATTCAATTTTTAATCTCTTCACTTTTTTCTTAGAAGATTCAATTTAATGCTACCATAGAATTATACTATCAGTTTCTACTTTCCATTTGAAGCCACAGTGAAACACAAAATAAATGCATATTAAAATTATAAAAAAAGCAAAAAGGTTGTTGGAAAAAAAGTAAGAAGGGGAGCCTTCATCCAACCTGTTTTGATAAAGCAAAATTAAAGTTTGGTTCATTTATTTAATTTTAAAAATTTATACCCTTTACATATCCTTTTTTGTCAATAAAATTAAGCTAATTGAAATCAAACAATCAAAATGTTGAACTTTTTGGCTAAAAGTCTTGACAAATCTACACCCATAGCATATGCATTTAGTGAATCTTCCTTCAACCAACTTTGGCCCTTTGGAAAGTAACTTAACTATGTCTCTTTCGATCCTCATGCTAGACCTCGGATTTGTATATTCGAACCAGCATCTTACTATTTGAATCATTCAAACTAGCATACTTCACAGTTACTAAGATCTTTGACGAAAATGATAAGACCGAAGTTCAAACTCATTCATTTAAGACTTGTGAAATTACTTGTTATAAAAAAGAATGAAATATTCCTTGCTTTATTATACACTACGGAGTATATAACATAAAACTATATACTCCGTACAACGCTTTGGGTGATATTTAATCTAACCAAATACATGAATAACTAGTGGGTCGAATTGAATATTTTAAATCAGATTTTTAATCCAAAAACAAGGGAAAGAATGTGTTATTTTCCTCGAGTACTCGGTAGTCACTACAATATTGACTAGTGAGTAAAAGAGAAAATATTTTTACTCTGTACTTGTACTAAAGAACAATTGAAGTTAACAGTGTGCAACTTCTTTCCTGATTGATGAACAAGAACAAGTAATTGTGACACACAAAAAATTCCAGCAAAGTTAAAAGCTCTCTTCTAATTTTGCTCCACCAAACAATTAAAATCACAACCCACTCATTTCATAATGACAAACACCAAATTCTCTCTCTTTGTCAATCAAACACATTGATATTTTGATACACCCCCACTTTCACCAAACGACACCTTAACCTCTTCTTTCTCTCTCCTCTGCTTCTACTCTCATGTGTTCATGTTCCTTACTTTCAACTTTCTCTCTCCTCTGTTTCTTTCACTAAAACATTCATCTCATTTACCTTTAAAATATGGCTAGGCTAGTGGTGGAGGTTCTAGATGCATCCGACCTCATGCCGAAAGACGGCCAAGGCTCCGCAAGTCCGTATGTAGAAGTTGAGTTTGAAGAGCAAAGACAAAAGACGCAAACCAAGTACAAAGACTTGAACCCTGTGTGGAACGAGAAGCTCGTTTTCGAGGTTTCCGACCCACAAAACCTCGCCGACAGAACCATTGAGGTTACTGTCTATAACGATAAGAAATCCGGACACGGCCATCATAAGAACTTCTTAGGCCGTGTCCGGATTTCTGGGGTTTCCGTTGCGACAACGGAAATCCAAGCCTCTGTTCAGAGGTATCCCCTTGATAAGAGAGGGATGTTCTCTCATATCAAAGGGGATATTGCTTTGAAGATGTTTTTGGTGAATGCCAGTGACCCATCTTTTCAATTTTTTCCACTTCCTAACAAGGAAGATAGGAGAGAGAATGAAGGTGAAGTTCCGCCATTGGAAGAAATCAATCCAAATAATGTTACCTCTAATTTTGGAATTAATTATGAACAAGTGGGGGAGAGAGATTTCGGACATGAAAACCACCACCATCATAATCATCATGATCACCATTATCAAAAGCAGACTAAAAAGCAAGAAAAAGAGAAACCTGAAGTTAGAACTTTTTACTCAGTTCCAGCTAAATCTCACAACAACTCTTCACAACAACAACAACAAGGCCCGCCCCCTCAGTCTAACCACCAACCTCAGCAATCGTATCCGAAGACGGAAGTTCGGGCGGATTTCATGAAAGCCGCCCCACAGCCTGCTATGATGATGCAGGTTCCGGGAAAGAAACCGGACTATGAGCTGGTGGAGACTCGGCCGCCCGTAGCGGCGCATATGGGATACAGAAAAGGGGATAATATCGGTAGCACCTACGATCTGGTTGAGCAAATGCATTACTTGTATGCAAGTGTTGTTAAGGCGAGAGATCTTCCTGTGATGGACATTACAGGGAGTTTAGACCCTTTTGTTGAAGTCAAGCTTGGAAACTATAAAGGGGTTACTAAGCATCTTGAAAAGAATCAAAATCCTGTTTGGAATCAGATTTTTGCCTTTTCTAAGGAGAGATTGCAGTCCAATCTGCTGGAAGTTATTGTTAAGGATAAGGATTTTGGGAAGGATGATTTTGTAGGGAGGGTTATGTTTGATCTGACTGAAGTTCCTCTTCGAGTCCCGCCTGATTCGCCGTTGGCTCCGCAGTGGTATAAGCTGGAGGATAAGAAGGGTCAGAGAGGGCACAAAGGAGAGATTATGCTTGCAGTGTGGATGGGAACGCAGGCTGATGAGGCGTTCCCTGAAGCATGGCATTCTGATGCACATTCTATCAGTCATCATAATCTTGCACACACTAGATCAAAGGTGTACTTTTCGCCGAAATTGTACTACTTGCGCGTGCTTGTGATTGAAGCTCAGGATTTGGTGCCATCAGACAGGGGTCGTGCGCCTGTGACTCAGGTGAGAGTCCAGCTTGGGAACCAGATGAGGGCAACAAGGCCTTCGCCGATGCAGACATTGAATCCGATTTGGAATGATGAGCTGATGTTTGTGGCTTCAGAGCCATTTGACGAATTTATGATATTGACAGTGGAGGATAAAGTTGGGCCAGGAAGGGACGAGATCCTAGGGAAGATGATCATCCCGGTTAGGGAGCTTCCGCATAGGTTGGAAACAGCTAAGCCTCCTGATCCGCGGTGGTTCAACCTCATGAGGCATTCACACGGCGATGAGGATGGGGAGAAGAAGGAGAAGATGAAGTTTGCTAGCAAAATTCACCTGCGGCTCTGCTTGGAGGCAGGGTACCATGTGTTGGATGAGTCCACCCACTTTAGCAGTGATCTCCAGCCCTCGTCCAAGCATCTGAGGAAGTCTCCTATTGGAATTTTAGAGCTTGGGATACTGAGTGCTAAGAATCTCTTACCCATGAAAGGGAAAGAGGGGAGGCTTACTGATCCTTACTGTGTTGCCAAGTATGGTAACAAATGGATTCGAACACGAACCCTTCTTGATACTCTTGCTCCTAAGTGGAACGAGCAGTACACATGGGAGGTCTTTGATCCCTGCACTGTGATCACTGTCGGAGTATTTGACAATAATCATGTCAGTGGGAATGATGCAAAGGAGCAGAGGATAGGAAAGGTTAGAATCAGGCTATCAACACTAGAAACTGATCGGATATACTCACATTTTTACCCTTTACTAGTGCTTACTCCTGGAGGATTGAAGAAGCATGGTGAGCTTCAGTTAGCAGTCAGATTTACCTGCACAGCTTGGGTGAACATGGTTGCACAATATGGAAGACCACTTCTGCCCAAAATGCATTATGCACAGCCGATTCCTGTCAAACACATAGATTGGCTGAGGCACCAAGCTATGCAAATGGTGGCTGCCCGGTTAGCTCGAGCAGAACCACCCCTACGGCGAGAGGTTGTAGAATACATGCTTGATGTGGACATCCATATGTTCAGCCTGAGAAGAAGCAAGGCAAATTTCTTCAGAATCATGTCAGTATTATCAGGAATATCAGCTGTTTGCAGATGGTTTAACGACGTTTGCACTTGGAGAAACCCTATTACAACATGTCTTGTTCACATCCTGTTCTTGATATTGGTCTGTTACCCGGAACTCATACTGCCCACAATCTTCCTTTACCTGTTTGTGATAGGAGTATGGAACTACCGCTTTAGGCCCAGGACTCCACCCCATATGGATGCTCGAATTTCACATGCAGAGCATGTCCACCCTGATGAGCTTGATGAGGAGTTTGATACATTCCCAACATCCCGACCCAACGAAGTAGTCAGGATGCGGTATGACCGTCTTCGGAGTGTGGCCGGTCGCGTTCAGGCTGTGGTTGGTGATCTAGCAACCCAAGGAGAGAGAGCTCAAGCATTGCTGAGCTGGAGGGATCCAAGGGCGACTGCAATATTCATCTTCTTGTCTCTGGTATGGGCAGTTTTTCTGTATGTGACTCCCTTCCAGGTGATTGCAGTGCTGGTGGGGCTATTCATGTTACGGCATCCGCGGTTCAGGTCCAAGATGCCTTCAGTGCCAGTCAACTTCTTCAAGAGATTACCTGCAAAATCTGACATGCTTCTATAACACAGCTCAGATTGGGTCAATAAGTTTTCCAAGGTTCAGTTTTTTTTTTTTTTGGTCAAAACCAAGGTTCAGTTCATGGAGAAAGAACTCACTTCTCCAAGAATCGCTTTGCTTATTTCCTTTTATATTCTTGTAATGTAAAGAACCTAGCGATTCTTTTCTTTCTGTTATTATTCTATATTTTGTACAATTTTAGTCATAAATTGATGAATAACGTCAAATTTTGGCAATCAATGAGTAAATTTGGCAAGATAATCTAAATGCAACTGGATATGTTAATAAGTAGTCAAGCAAGCCAAAAATGCCAATATCCAATCTGAGTGTGGTAAATTTTATAACATCAAATGCCAGAAAAATGATTAAATGAGTTCCCAATACAATGTAGCAAAATTCGGGTCACTATGTCCTGTGACAGCCACTTTAGTTCGCAAAATAAATAAAATGTGTTAACTAGACATCACCTTTCTTAACCAAAGTTGAGAAAGACAAGCTACAGCGATTAAAAAACATAGAAAAATACCGGCAACAAGAGATTTATCAACAATATTCCACTGCACCGTGCTCGCTCTTGCCTTGCTAGACTCTTCCTTTAGAGTAGGTTCCTGAAAAACTGTATTCTTGGAGCTCTCAAGTATAACGCTGTTTCGCTTCCTCAGTCCGTCAAAATTTTGATCACCTGATCCCTGCTTGCCATTGACGGGAACAGCAGCCGCTTCTGAAGTATCAACACACTGCACTGCACTACAGCATGAACCTGGATCTTTAGAGCACGCACAAGGTTCACCACCAACATCACATGAAGAAACTCTACTACAGCTCAATTCATCCTTATTTAAAGTTCTGTCTTGAGCATTGTAACTGAGAACCTCGATCACTTCACCGAAAACTGACCATCTTCCGACAGAAGTGATCCTTACGGTAGCTGAAGCACCCAGAAGGCTTTCTGGAGCATTGACCAATACTTGTATGTATCCTTTGGTGTGTCCCACCTAATAAAGGCAAGTCCCAAATCATGAAATGAAGCAACTATATGATCACCATGGTGAACATTAAGCAATTGCCAGATATAAAAGGGAAAATAAGCTAAATGCCTGATTTTCCTAGTGAGAAAGATACATGAATAAAGCTCTATATCAACAAAACCCAAACCTAATTTGGTAAAAAAATTTAAAAAAAAAAAAAAAATGGACAACTAGCAGCTATGACAGGTATCCCAGACTCCCTGTCAGCAAAGCAATGGAGGTATAGAACAAAAGAAAAGCAACAATCTTGTTGCTATATTACCAAGTGAGTTCCATCCGCAGCTACATCAGTTATCCATATTCTCTCAATCAGCCCTTCCATTCCGTTATATGGAGTGAAAGATTCAAATACAGCAGTTAATTCACGACTCCGCTTCTTTACTATAGCACTTGGAACTTTCTTCATCCTCGCAGCAGGAGTACCTAAATTAAGAATAATACATCAAAACCCCAAAATTTATGTGATATGAGTCCAGAACTTTGTTCAAATTTCACATAATAAGGAGAATCCTGAGTTAAAGGTTCCACAATTTCACATTATCACATATCTCAATTAAATTCTTAAAATAAATAATATGACTCTCCATATGATATTTTCTTTATTATTATGAATAAAATGAAATGATTTATGTCTACAAAAAACCCTACTCACTAGTCTCAGAACTGTTAACTACAAGGTATGTCCTATATGCATTGAGATGACAGCTTATGATCATTTGGAGACATGAAGTGGGAGAAATAAGTTGTGATCCAAATTCTTTGAAAACTTGATTAAGTGGATCCATAATGGTCTTGGTCAACACCACCACTCTCAATCTACTTAGAAAGAGATTATTTAGGACTTACCCACACGTAACCTTAAAAATATAGCTTTTGATTTTTAAGTTCTGAGATCCCAACTCCCATCATCTGCAAACTTAGTATTGACCATTTTCAAGCCTGTATATTAGATTAGGAGTCTTATTTTTTTTGGCTTTTATATTAGCTTTTGATTTCGGTGTTCTGAGATCCCATCTACAATCTTAACCTTCTAAGGTTCATTGTTAAGTCAAGTGAAATATAACTAATTAATCTAAATCCCAGCTTAAATTTCCATGTGGATGAAGCTTATTTATTGCTGTGTTAGTGTGTAACTTTGATTACCACAACATTTTTTCAAAGAATCCAAAAGAATTGTGAGACTTGAACACCTACCCAGCATTAGATGCAATCTCTCATTTTGAGGTTGTAAGTGCATTCAAGCAGTTCCCTACCTACACCCCAAAACACAAGTTCAAAGTATTCTCAGCATCATCCACCACTAATTCACCCAGATTAGACCCAAGTGTGCATCAAAGTAATTTTCAGCGTTGCTAATCCAAACTGCCCCCAAAGTATCCAGATTTGTATGGCCAGCCTTCTTTTAACCTCAGAGTTGATGAATTAGGACAACCTACCATACAGCATTAGCTTTACCCTAAGATTTTGAACATTTATGGACTAAGCCCTACTTTCTCATACTTAGCCAAATCATTACAATTCATGTATGAAGAGGCTTGAGTCTCATGGAAAACTCACATGCTTTAGTGGTCTTATTTAACACATGCACAATAGCACACTATATATTGACGGCAAGTTCTAAGACTTTAAGCTATAACTACACAGCAATAAAGATCAGCATACCAGGTCGAGGGTAGAATTGTGAAATATGAACTTGAGCAAGCTTATAGTCCTTGATAAGCTGAACAGTCTGAGCAAAGTCATCATCAGTTTCACCTGTAGAAAAAAAAGGACCGATTTTTAAGTAAAGAAAGTACCAATTGGTTAAAATGGCAATTAGCAAAAAAGACTCGTCCAAATTATAATCAAGAATTTCATCACACCAAGCTGTGAAATGGATGTATGCCAAAGTTCCAGATATACTGCATGCCATGAAAGCCTGAGATACCAAACGCTGTACTTCGTAATACACACGAGTATCACAAATAGTGTAGACTTTTCCTTCCCCTGACCTCCACCCCAAATGAAGTAAAAATGATTCATCTTCAGTCCCCATTACCACCACCACCCCCCCCCCCCCATAATAAGGTTAAAAAAAAGATTAGCTTAGAAAAAATCCAATTGTTACCAGGAAAACCACATATAATATCAGTTGCAATCTGCATCCCAGGGACCAGTTTGGTCAATGTATCCACCACAGTTCTGAACTCTTCTACAGTGTATTCTCGATTCATAGCCTGAAACGATATCATGACGACATTTTAAACAAAAAAAAAAAAAAAAAAATTCCAGCATCAGCATAATAGAGCACACTAAACTCAAAGCATAAGACCTTTGCTATTGTATTCTGTTATAGATAAATTTCCAAGAATAAAAAGGAAAATTTGACACAACTTAGAGAATAATAACCTAACAAGAAATACGTTCACATACAGTTAAGACCGCATTGCTCCCAGATTGAACAGGAACGTGAAGAAAGGAGTACACAGAAGGATGACACAGTACTTCAGCTATTTCTTTCAGGTGTTCAAGAATATAAGGTGGATTAGTCATCCCAACACGAAGCATTGTACTTCCAGTGGAGGGGAGCTCCACAATCATCGCATTCAAAAGAATAGGAAGATTAACTCCAATGTCACGGCCTGAAAAGTTCCAATGTTATAATTTTAGCACAAATTCAAGTTGTAGAACCTTAGAGGCTTAGGAATTGAAAGCTGCACAGATACTTGAGCAATCTATTTCAAGACTTATGAGAGTAATTCAAGAAAAAGATATCAATATGTACCATATGCTCCAGTATCTTCACTGCTTAACCATATCTCCCTAACTCCCTCAGCTATGACAGTTTTTACACGCTGAACCTGAAGCATTGCAGAATGTTAGACCTCAGGACATTACCAACGTCAAACCAAGAAGCTATTACAAAAAGTCCAAGGTGCTTACAAGGCTGTCCACCGTATAGCTTCCTAAATGACCACGTGCATGCTTTGTCTTGCAATAAGTACAAGCACCTAAACAGCCAACATTAATAGGAAGAATCTCAACAAATTTGTTCTTCCTCACCTGTATAAAGCATTGTAGCAAACCATCTTCAGTTGTTAAAAGGGTAGTATTTCTCATCAACTTAACTTATGTTGGTTGGTATAAGCAATGACACAACTGTGAGAGCTGCAGAAAGCAATGACAAAATTACCTTTGGGAGATCAAGCGCAGGCAATGTTTTCCTATTTAAAAGCCGCACCTCATGGCCTTTCAAGGTCTCTTCAACAACTTCCACAACACGATCAATTTGTTGCACACCAACTATACTAACTCCTTCAAGCTCCTTTATGTTCCGGCTTCCTTGTGGCACACACCCTGCCACAACCAAAGGTTTTTTCGCACCCTTACCTTTTGAAATTATAGTATCCATGGCAGATTGACTAGGTGATTTAACAGTGCACCTGAAATTAATCCAAAATCACAATATGTAATCTGAATGATAAGTATAAACCATCAATATTCAAGTATCTCTGTTTTTTTAATCAACAAAAGGAGTCTGTAGTGATCCAAACTATATAAAAAAGAGTAAGGTATCCTCACGTATTAATCAGCCACAAGTCAGCTTCCTCAGGATTGTCGGTTAAGGTATACCCATAGGCTGACAGCTGACCCGCCATGTACTCACTGTCACTCTGATAAATCAAGATATGTCCATAAGCAATTGTAAGTTGTAGAAACTACATTAGCAAGTTCCAGTAGCTCAAGGTTATCAGTCTTTAAGCATGATGAAACCTGTACCCTGTTAAAAGTAAAAACAGTAACTCCATACTAAGAACACATACTCCTACTCATTCGATCAGGCGCAAAATTTCAAGTGCAAGACATCCTCACACATGAAGAAAAAATGAAGGGGAGTTGTGAAAAATAAAAAATGTTCAGCTCTCCCTATACACCACTTTGTCATCTTTAACTGCAAAAAGGATGGCAGTTCATGTTGTCTAAAGATATGTCTGTCATACATCCACTTTCACTAAAAATATTATAAGCAAAAGGTTCCCTTTCTTCTTGATAGAAGTTCTTTCCTAAAGTCATGAATGGCTACTCCAAAGTCCAAATAGTAACTTAAGCTGGAGAATGGCTGGAGTGTAGCGCAGATCTAAGATGGGAGACAGTTTAGGCAATGGACTTGTAGTCACCTGAATGTAATTTAATAAAGAATGACTGATACTTTCCATCATCACTCGTCGGATTAAGGCCTTAAACTTATAGCCAGGATGCCTTGGAGGCTACTAACTTACTATTCACAATAGTCCCAAAACATCCAATGTTGAGTATTGGCCCTTTTTTTAACTCAGTAGGATGCGTTAATTTCATTCTGGAAGGACTATAAGAAAATGAGGGATCTCTTGGATTAAAGGGCACCCTATGGGTCAGAACTTCAATTACAGAAATCCTTGTGACAAGGAAGTAGAAGGATTTACCTAGAGATAATTCAGATACTCCTCCATTGTTAATGAGAGGATTGAGGGAGTATCTCTTATTTTATTTTTTTTACCTTAAAAATCTTTAATCTGAACTTGCCCAAAACTTACTTTGATTCTATAATGAATTTGGTTATCTTTGTTTGAAATAAATTTTCACAATACTTGTTTTGGGTAAGGAGAAATGAACAAACCTGCAGACATAAACACCACCAAATCATAAACCCTTAACTATTCAGAATTCTCCTACATTTACCTCAAGGTTAAAGCCCTTACCTAGATTAAGGATTATAATAGATAATGATAGTTTCCATTTTAGGTAAGAAGGCATTATAAATTTCATATTCCCATAGCAAGGGCAAGTCCATACGTGTTTCACTCCAAAACAATTGTTTGATATAGATAAAGAATTTTGGTTCACCTAGACACTATTAAGAACAAACAGTCAGGATTTGGTTTTGAGATATACATGAAGATGTTGCCTAGAGCTATCAAAAGTAGACCCGACCCGAAATACCGACTCAAACCCGATTATTAACCGACCCATCTGAACCCGAAAAAATGGTGACCCAAACTCGACCTGAAACCAACCCTAGACTCGAACCCAAACATGACTGACCTGGAGATGACCCGACCCGAATGTAACCCATAAACTATTGACCTGAACCGAACCAGACTTGAACCGAAATTGACCCAAACCCGTTTTAACCCGTCAAAACCCGAATTTAATCCGACTTGTTACTAACCTGACATGAATTCAACCTGACCCATTCCTATCCCAACCCAAATTTAACCTAACCTGTTACAAACCCGACCCGAAATCAACCCGACTTGTTATTGACCTGATCCAAACTCAACCCGACCCGACCCGACCCAAATTTCACCAAACCTATTACTAACCCGACTAGAAAATCCAACCCGATCTGTTACTAACCCGACTCGAAATCAACACGACTTGGAACTGACGTGACCTAAATTCAACCCAAATTGTTCCTCACCCGATTTCAAATCACCTTAAATGCAATTTAGACAACCATATTATTGTTGATAAAAACATTTTGTCTAGGGAGACCAAGTCGGTCCACGCCAGCAAAAGAAAGAAGCATCATCCTCAAATTTAAGAGTTAAATATAGTATGTATTTGTTGTATGGTCAAAGAAGATAATTATCTTCCTAAATTATAAACTATAGTTCCCTAATATATTTCCATATACATTATAGTCAAAGGAAATAATTAGATTAATAAAAATGATAATTACCTATTTATAGTTAGTTGAACCCGAATATGACGTGACTTGGAAATGACCCGAACTGATTGTAACCTGCAAATTATTGACTTGAACATAACCCGACTTAACACCGAGAATGACCCGACTTGGAAATGATCCAACCTGATTATAACCCGCAACTTAATGACTTGAACCTAACCCGACCTGAACTCGAGAATGACCCGACCTGATTATAACCCGCAAATTATTGACCTGAACCGAACCCGACTACAACCCGAGAATGACCCGACTTGATTCTAACCAAAAAATTATTGACTTGAACCGAACCCGACTCCAACTCGCGAATTACCCTAACCCGTTTAACTCGTGAAAAACCCGAATTGAACCCAACCTATTGTTCACCCGACCTAAACCCGATAAAAAGTATGACACAATGTGACCCGACTCAAGCATGACCCAACCCAAACCCGACCCGCATAGGTCATGCAGTTAATCCGAATTGACCCGACCCATTCTCACCGACCCAAACCCGACACGTCTACTCGAATTGACAGCTCTACCCGAAACCTTCAAAATTTCTCAAAAAGCGTGGATAATTAGCCTTCAATTTTGGAATTTTTTTTGACTTTTTTCACCCAAAAACAAAAATTGCCGAAATGTGTACCATGGTCCCCAATACCCTCCGGGAGTCCAATTGGATAGGTGGAACCATCTAAATTGCTTTTAAACGACAAAATTACCAGTTTACAACTTGCACCGATTTCATTAACTCAAGCTTACCACGAACATTTATAACAACATATAATGATCATATATGGATCCAAACGACATTATATCACCCCGATATATATCCATTAAAATCTCAATGCTTTTCGACACCGGACCCTGAAACGCTCGAAATTTCTCAAAAAACATGGATATTAGCATTCAATTTTAGAATTTTTTTACTTTTATTCTCCTGAAATAAAAATTGCCGAAATGTTTATCATGGTCCCTAATACAAACTGGGAGACCAATTGGGTAGTTGGAACCATCCTATTTGCCTTTAAACGACCAATTTACCGGTTTACAACTTGTACCGATTTAATTAACTCAAGCCTAGTACAAACATTTATGACAACATATAATGATCATATATGGTTCTAAACAACAATACATGACTTCCAATTGGTAAACATTTCGGAAATTTGCCTTAACACGGTAAATTGCCTTAAAACGGTAAACAAATTTGCCTTAAAACGGCCAATTTACGGTTCCAAACGGCATTATAAGACACCGAGATGTGTCCCCTAATATTTCATTTCTTTTCGACACCGGGCTCAAAACCTTAAAAATTTCTAAAAAAAACATAGATATTAGCCTTCAATTTTATAATATTTTGACTTTTATTTCACACGGAAATTAAAATTGCCGAAATGTTTATTTTGGTCCCTAATACCCCGCGGGAGTCCAATTGGGTGAGTAGAACCATCCAATTTGCCTTTAAACGATCAATTTACCGGTTTACAACTTGTACCGATTTCATTGACTCAAGCCTACCAAGAACATTTATGACAACAAATATTGATCATATATGGTTCCAAACGGCATTATATGACCCCGAGATGTATCCCTAAAAATTTCAAGACTTTTAGACACCGGGCCCCAAAAACCTTAAAAATTTCTCAAAAAGCGTAGATATTAGCCTTCAATTTCAGAAATTTTTTACTTATTTTCGCACGGAAATAAAAATTGACGAAATATTTACCATGGTCCTTAATACCCTTTGGGAGTCTCGTTGGTTGGGAGGCACCATTTAATTTGCCTCTCAACGGCCAATTTACCAGTTTAAAACTTGCACCGATTTCATTAACTCAAGCCTACCACGAACAATTATGACAACAAATAATGATCATAAATGGTTCCAAACGACATTATACGACCTCGAGATATATCCTCTAAAATCTCAATACTTTTAGACACCGGCCAGAAGACTCAAAATTTCTCAAAAAATGTTATATTAGCCTTCAATATTTGAATTTTTTGACTTTTTTTGCCCTAAGTAAAAATTGTGTTCACCATGGTCCATAATACCCTCCTGGAGTCCAATTGGATAGGTGCAACCATCTAATTTGCCATTAAACGACCAATTTACCGATTTATAACTTGCACCAATTTCATTAATCCAAGCTTACCACGAACATTTATGACAACATATAATGATCATATATGGTTCCAAACGGCATTATATGATCCCGAGATGTATCCCCTAAAATCTTAAGGCTTTTCGACAACGGGCCCGAAACCTCCAAAATTTCTCAAAAAGCGTAGATGACGACCATGGTCCCAAAATTTCTCAACGGGCCTTCAATTTTTGGAATTTTTTACTTTTTTTTGCTTAGAAATAAAAATTGACGACCATGGTCCCAAATAACCTCCAGGAGTCCAATTAGGTGGGTGGAACCATCCAATTTTCATTTAAACGACCAGTTTACCGGTTTACAACTTGCCCTTATTTCATTAACTCAAGCCTACCACGAACATTTATGACAATAAATAATGATCATATATGGTTCCAAACGACATTAGATGACCCCGAGATATAACCTATAAAATCTCTCTTTCTTTTTTTTTCCGACGCCTAGCCCCGAAACTTTCGAAATTTCTCAAAAAGCGTGGATATTAGCTCTCAAAATTAGGAACATTTTGACTTCTTTGCCCAAAAATAAAAGTTGCCGAAATGTTTACCATAGTCCCTAATATCCTAAGGGAGTTCAATTATATGGGTAGAACTATCCAATTTTCCTTTAAACGACCTATTTACCGGTTTACAAATTGCACCGATTTAATTAACTTAAGATTACCACGAACATTTATGACAAAATATCATGATCATATATATGGTTCCAAACGGCATTATATGACCCCGAGATGTAATCCTAAAATTTCAAGTTTTTTCGACACCATACCCAACCTCAAATTTTTCTCAAAAAACGTGGATAT